CCCACCGAGAAAGCAAAGCGCCGGCGACACAGATTGCGGCTGGGGAATCTGCCTAATTCGGAAGCAGGCTCAGCTGCTCGTGCTGTCCCGCAGCTTGCTCGTTCCGCTCCGCGAAATCGTTGATTTCGCGCTGCTTGGCCTCAACCTCCTCCTTGAGCTCAAGGTTCTCGGCTGCACGGGCGTAAATCGGATTGAAAAGCAACATTCCCACCACAATGCACATGTGGATTGGTACTAGAAGTGCAGCCAAGGAGAACAAACAGGTGTTAAAGATTGTTGATGCACTACTCAGCTGGCCGCTTGTCGGCCAGCCGCAGTCGCCAAACCCCACCTCTTCGGTCAAAGACATGGAGGTCGCATTGGTCTCCGGTTCGACAGAAATCCAGAAATTAGAGGTGAAACACACTACAGCTTCCCAAGAAGCCACAGCCGGCTCCAGGAATTTTTCCCGGAGCACCGGGAGGCCCATAGGCCGTCCTAGCGAGCCCAGGGGAAGAAGGCCCTGGGGGAGGTCCAATAGGCAGAGGGCGGTCCAGGAGATGAAGCGCATCAGAATCCAAAGCGCTGGGATGGAGCCGGGGCCTCCTCCTCCAGCTCCTGTTGCCTCGCTATTCTTGAGGAAGCTTTTGGTCTGCAAGCCTGCCATGGCATAGCCAACCCCGAGGCAAGAGTAGACAGCAACGCCCAGAATCTGCGAAGCTCCAGACCACCACGCGGCTGCGCCATTCGCCACTGCACCGAGGAGGTACCCCGGCAAGGTGAGGACCGGGTGGAGGGTGGCACTCGCCACGGCGAAGGCGGCCAGCTCTGCAGCAAAGGCGCCGAAGTACCAGGCGGTGAGCATGGCCGCCTTCACAGGTCTGACGGCCCTCAAGGCCGCTGCACCTGCCTCCGCGCCAGTGTTTACCTTGCAGGGGGTCTTGAAAAGTGGGCATCGGCAAGAGGCTACCACAACTTCTGCATCCCCGAGCTTCGGAGGCCGCTTTAACACTCCAACCTACTTTTAACGGCTTCTTGCGAACTCCCTCCCGCAGCACCTCGCCTCCAAGTCCAGCCGGCCCTCGGCCATCGCTTTTGCTGACGAGTAGAGCCCATAGAGGCAGCTGGCCGCCTGCAGCGGCGTGAGCTGAAGCAGGGAGGCGCCGTACGGGCCGATGAGCCCGGTGCTCGGCGCTTCGATGACCCGTTCCGCAGCCAGCATCCCCTCCCAAGCCTCGGTCGTCACTCCCCGGGCCAAGGAGAGCCGGGCCTCGGTCAGGGGGTCGAAGCGCTTCAGCTTGCTGTACTCATGCATCCCCACGACCGTGGCCAAAAAGCTGAGGACCACGAAGACGCCCATGAAGCCTGCGAACCAGAAGTCTCGATGAAGGATGAATGTGGCGATTTGCACGGCGTCATTCCCCATGTCCTGCGCGGAGGGGGGGGTGGGGGGAGCTGGGGCTCAGGATGTCAGTGGACCTGCGGACTTCCGAATGCAGCTACGATTAGAAGAACCCCTCCCTTCGAAGAAACGACCCCCTTACAGCAGGGCCGAGGCTCGAAAATGTAGGTGGCAAGCTGGAAGAAAATCCCTGCAGGCAGGCAGAAGCTGAAGGCGAAGACGGGTTTGTAGCCTTCAGGAGCCATGAGACCAGAAGCGCTAACGCCGCTGCAGCGGGCTCGATCCCAAGATGCTTCGCAAGGTGCGAGACAGGCTCTTAATGAAAGCTCTTCCATGCGGACGCCAGATCAGCCAAGCTCTCTCACCCAAGAGTCTCCGAGCCACTGAAACCCAAAACCCCCGGGAATCTGAACAGGCTCTGAGCTCCCGCCTCAAGGATTGTCGCCGCGCTCTGTCCGCAGCCCAGCGCCGGTGCTGCCTCGACATACGGTATAGCTTCAAGTTTTGAGCTTTGGGGAGAGAGCCTATACGGGTTGAAGGGCCTCAAGTTTAATTTGGGGCTCAAGATATTCCGGGTCTCCAGTAGGTAGGTGCTGGGCTCGAGGGGGTTCTCAGCGGGGTTCTCCTTCGTGTTGTCGCGGCTTCCAGGCGTCGGACATACGGTCGCACGATCAGAAACGTGGTAGGTTGGCTGGCCTCTTGCCAAAGATTCTTGGGGAGAACAGCACCACTTCCTTCTGGTTGCCAATTGCCCGCAAGCGGCGTGTCGACCTCCATGCCTTTTTCGGCAGGATGCTACGTTGCAAACTTCTGGATCACTGTCATGTCATCCGCTCCGTGCCAGGTGAGCACCTTGAGCTTGGGGGGTTCAAGGCTCCAGGGACAAGGACGGAGCTTTGTCCACGGAGCCTCCCAACCTCCAAACAGGCTAACCAAGAACCGACCGAATTCCTCGTGGGAGTCCCACTTACCCTTTTTTCCCTTCTGTTCGCAGGCACCTTACACCTCTGATACTCGGAGGTCCTTGGGAGCTTTGGCTTGGGGGCCTTATACAAACCGAAGAGCCCTACGTCGAAGCCTCAAACCCCACAGCGGACCCCAGGAGCGCCTGGAAAAGTGGAGGAAAGCTGCGGCTTTCGGGCTGAGCTCTGCCAGCTGGGCCAGCAGCTCCACGCAGCCCGCACTCCGTCCGCCAGACTCCTGGCATAATTTGGGGGGTTCATGAGTAATTATAAATGGGGGCTCATGAGTAACTATAAATGGCTTTAGGGTTTGAGGGTTTACTTGGGGGTTCATGGGCAGTTATGAATGTGGTTATAAGTAGGGTAACTCTGCTGCTAACCCATATTAAGGGACTTATAACCCCACTTAAAACTACCGATGAACCTCCAAGCATAGTGGAAAGCTTACAAGGGGCTAGGCTGGAAAATGGGATTCTTTGAGGAGTCAGAGACAGGAGCATGCTCTGATGGAAGGAAGCTCTACTTTAGAATCTAACTTGTCATGTGGCATATAAGCTGATACGGATTGAACGCTTTGTTTTTCAGGCTTTCGTGTTTCCAATTGATTCTGGCTTACGGCTTGGGTGGGTGCTTCGATGTACTCCTGGACGATTCCCTCTGACAGCGTACTCGGATTCATCGCAAGCTGGCGCAAGGAGAACTCCAACGAGAACCCGTCCTACGCGGCTTCGCACCTACAAGAGCTCTCAAAATCCGACAGACAGTTTGAATCCAGGGTCCGCCGCATCCACAGCGGCTGCGAGTGCCGTGACGTCGGGGCGCCTGTGACGGTTAGAGGGCTTAGGCTTAGGGATAGGAATCAGAGCTTGGGGCTGTTGCCCTAAACCCCCAAGCCCTACACTCTAAACCCCCTAAACCCCTAAACCCCTACCTAAACACTAAACCCTCATCCCCTCGAACCCTGAAACTCCGGCCCCCCCCCCCCCCGTAAACACCAAGTACACCCCCAAAACCGTTTAGGGTTTTGGGCTTTGGGTTTAGGGTTTTAGGGTTTAGGGGTTTAGATGAACAACTCTATTTAAGGGTTTAGGGTTTTAGAGTCTTAAGGGTTTTAGGGTTTTAGGGACGGAGCCGAGCTGCAGCGACACCTTCGCCAGACGTCCGACCAGGGCCAGGGCAAATCGCCAGTCTTGGGGCCCTGTGGGACGAGGGTTTCAGGGTTTCAGGGCTTATTGGCTTCAGGGGTTCAGGGTTTAGGGTTGAAGGTTTATTGGCTTCAGGGTTTCAGGCTTTAGGGTTTCAGGGTTTCAGGATTTAGGGTTGAGGGTTCAGGTTCGGGGTTGAGGGAATGGGAGAATTTGGAGAATGTTTATCTGAAAGTCACCTACAATGATGCTGATGGAAAGGGGCATTGGGCAAGGAGGGTTGGGATTCGCAGGTTGTGACTAAGAGGTTTCGCGCTTGCGCCTGCATCACAGCTCTGCATGCTGCGAGTTTAAAGCTGCAGTGTTAACCTGTTAAGGTGTTTGAAGTCTCAGCTGGGACCAATTAAACTCTTTCCCTGGGAGAACGTAAATAAAGCTTCCTCGTTAGATGTCTTATGCAAGGACACAGTCACGAAACCTGACGGCTGTAACCCGCAAACGCCATGCAAAGCCCGAAAGATCGAAACCACAAAATCAAAAAAACAAATCCCAAAGATTCTAACTAAACCTCAAATCCTGAAGCCCCAAATCCCCAAAACTCTAAGCCCCAAAAATTCCTGCAACCTGTGCCTTGAAACCCCAGACCCCTGGCCCGTCAAACCCCCCTCAGCTCAGCCCCGGAACCCACCATCCTTGCGGCCCGGACAGCGCCGCGTTGCGGAGCATGCCCGTCAGCTCCACGCGGCCTCGTCCGCGGAAGTCGGCATAATGTGTAGGGGCCTTAAGAATCAGAAGAGGGCTTTGGGCGTTTATTATACCAGATAATTAGAATAAGGGGCCTCCTAAAAGCCTAAAAGTAGTATAAAGGTATATATTTAGGCCCCCAGAGTATGCTTTGCGCAGAAGAGGCGAATTCCCCATCTCTACGGGCTGTGCGACTCGGAAACCGAGCAGGAGATTTACCTGTAGTCTCCGTTGTCGACAACAGCCGCGTCTGCTCATAGTAGAGACCGGTTGAACTCCAACTGCCCGGAAGCGCCGAAGCCCCGGAGCCCGCTTTTGAACAGGGAGCCCCCGACAGTTCCTGCGCTGCCGTCGCACAGCAGCTGAAGCGCGTGAGCCCACCTTGCAGATGAATCTTAGAGTCTATACGAATCGAAAGTGTTATAGGTTTCAGCTTCACGGGGGAAGCTTAAAGTGTGTGGTTCTCTGAATTGGGGTTGTTGGAGGCTGTCGAAAGTGCACAAGTTGGCTTCTCAGGCCCTAAGCCCTATAGACGGTCTTTTGACCAGGAGGCCCAAAAAACACAGAGCTACAAGACCTGCCTAGGACGTCCCTGGCAGGACCGAGCTGCCGCGCGCTCTGTGCGCAAGCAGCCACGGCGGCGGTGGTAGCAACCACAGAGCCAGCATTGGGCGTCCTGGCATTCAAGTCTTACAGGGTGCTTTGCAGAAGCTTCGGGCCAAACCGAAACGGCGGGCGTAGCATTAATTTAGCCTGAAGAGATTTTGAAGGACTTAGACTGAGGCGTGGGGCGTAGGAGTGAAAAGGCTGTCGGAGGCGTTGGTGAGTGGTGTAAACAGCAGCCCTTATCATTTTCGCAAAGAATTTTTGGAAACTCGAAAATTGCGCTGTCAGGTTTAAACTTTTAAAGCCTTCAACCTTAACGTAACTCCCCAAACTCTATTCTAAGCTTTGCTGCAAAAACCCTGTGCAAGTTCGCTACATCCCACACCGGTCCTGCGGAAGCTTGAGAAAACGGCGAGCGCCCGGATCCACGCCTTGGCTTTGGCGCCTGCAGGGCGGATCGGAGAAGGACCCTTCCAGAAAGGAACGGCCGGGCTCTTTGTTACAGGGGCTTTCGGCTTTAAAGGGGCTTAGAAGGAAGGGGGTTCTGAAAGACGTCATAAGAGAGCCTCACAAGATTTGTACAAGGGCGGCGGCTTGAGACTTGTGCTTAGGATAACATGGCTCGGCCATCGAAAGCTGAAGGTCGCATGCTTTAGAGTCCGTCCGAGTTCGGGATGTCACATGTCGAAACAATCATGGCAAGATCCACAAAGCCAGCACCACAATCCCTCCGCACACCCTAACTGCCAAACTCTCTTAAACCTTCCCCCAAACCCTAAACCCTAAACTCCTAAACCCTAAACTCCCCCAAGAACTCTCAAGAAGCAAGGATAAAGGAAGGCCCCAGGCGCATCCGCTGACCACGGCGCTGACGGAGAAGGCATCGGGAGTGAGACGCTTGGTCACGGCCTGCAGAGCACAGAGCGGTGTTCCTAAAAGTCTAAGGGTCTGTATACCAATGGTTTAGGGTTTAGGGTCCAAAAGTCACCCCCAACGACCTGACCCCAAATAGCAGGATCCCTTTTGAATAGCAGCTCTAGGTAAGGTCTACTGGGCGACTTTTCTCTGAAAGCCCAAAAAGATATCCCCGAAACCCCGCTTGAAACTTGCCTGCTCTAGGAGCAGCAGGGCCTCCTTCCAGGCATTTGCTTTCCTTGGCTCCGGAGGGACTCGTGGGGTGTTGGCTTTGAAGGTGTTTTTTAGCAGTTCTGGTTTGCGGGATCTGGAAGCTTCAGAAAATGGCGGGACCCCAATGTGCAACCCTGCATCGTACAATCCTTGAGATTAAGGACCCAAAGGTCTAAAGGGACGCGTGACTGTTGTCCCCAGTGCTGTACATGATCATACAAGGACTTGCGAAATACTCTAGAGAAGTTTCAGAGAGCATAGCGGCGACCCTACTATGGAACCCAACACTTTTATGGAATCCTCTGCATGTCAAGACTCAAAAGTCTAAACCCAATCTTTGAAATTCGGCTCGAGCGGCTCGCAGGTGCTCATGGCTGCATTGTAGGAGATCAGCGTCGCCTGTGCTTCTGCAGGGAAAACCCCTCAGCCTTGGACCCCAAATCCCTGAATCCAGAAAGCCCTGAACCTTCCGAACGCCACCCATGATTTAGGGTTAAGGGTTAGGGTTTTTAGGGTTTTTAGGGTTTAGGGTTTAGGGTTTGGGGTTTGGGGTGAGAGTCCTGCCTGCAAGCGCTCAACTTCCAAAGCTGCCAGGAGCATCAGCGCCCGCTGCCACTGACGTCCCTGCCTGGCCATGGGTGAAGCTCTGCTAAACCCTGA